TCTATTGTTTCATGCAAAACAAGATATTTGGAATGAGATTAAGGTGTTGTCATAAAAAGTTTACTCACCCACTTTAATATTTTCCCCGTTATTGGTCTGAACCACATCGCCATCGAAAGCATATCCTCCTTTCTTGTTCACCATGTTTGCCTCTATTATGAATTGTAACCTTATCTTTTAACATGTTTATCAAGTGATCTCAAACATTTGTGTGTAAATTCTGCTAGTTTTACTTTGTTCATACTGTCAAATGTGTTTATCACATCACACATTTTGTGTTTCTTTGTTATCAAAATTGTGTTCGGTTAGGCTTATTTGACCTCCGGTAACTTGTAAATGGTTTTTAAAAGAACAATTCTAAGTACATTAAAAATGACCATATCAGTACATGGTATGAAATTCATAGGACGTCTAAAAAGAGCGGCTGGTAACACAATATAGTGCAGCGATATTTGGAAAAATGGTTTTGATGTTCACACGTGTTGATAATCAGCAGTAATGTCTAAGATGATATAACCATCAGGAAATGTGATGATGTGCAGAAGATGTGCAAATGTAAGGCGTTTGATTGCATATATCTCTTATAGATTATTAGACATGCCATCTGAATATATAAATCTTCTGATAGTGACTATCACGATCTTTCAAGTGGGTCCGTACTTTTTGTAAATGTTCGTGTAAATTTTTGCGCGTGAGCGCGACGCCCACTTCCTGTTTTACTTCAAATATATCATGCTTTGATTTTGCCTCTAAAATTGTATGAGGTTACATAAAACACTTTAGACTCTAGTTTATTATAAATTTTATTCCACTTTCTACTAAAAATATACCACCAATTCAGAAGTGTGTAAGATTACACAAACTGTTTGTAGACACACTAAGGAGAAGGAATTTTACGTTTGCGCGTAAAGTGCGTCACGCACGAACCGCTCCGCCGAGCGAAGCGAGACCCACCAGACCCCCTAAAATTGAGACCCTCTCTGTTGCAATCTTAGCACATCTGAGGGTAATGGCCTAAGGGTAATGTACTGGGAAGTTTTGGATGCAGGGTTTATCCCAAGGGAAATATGTGTATCTCCCGAGGTTCCGAATGGATCGACCGAGGGACAAACTCTGTATCCGAAACCAATCAATGTATTCCATACCCACTGAGGTTTTACAGTAGGTGCATCATACCTCAAAGTTCCAAAATTCAATTTAAACGTAACTTTAAGGTAAGCATTTTCTTCGTCCTAAAAGTAGTTTTTACGTTTGTGAAATTTTCACTCATATATTGCTGGAGCAGGTCAATGACTTGATATTATAAAGTTTAAATAGAAAATTTACCTATACATTGTGTATCCACCCCGGTCCCGAACGTTAGCGATAGCTCCCTATCACTGTTCCACAACTAGTTACTTTGACGGAACGTCAATGTAACAAAATGGATGAACTTCCTGGATACGAGTTTTTTGTTTTCTCGATTTAAACTTACGTTAAATCATGTTGCGAATTATCATTTTGCACAAAGTTAGACAATATAGTCTAGCTTTTAGAAATGCTCTCGGTTTGGAATTTGATTTTTAAATAAAGCTGTAATCAGTGCATCGCTTATATTTGGTAATATAACGGACTTTTGTCAATGTAACAAAAGCGATTGGCTAAATATATGAATGGCAGCTTCATTTACAAAACAAATTCCAAATCGAAGGAACTTATTAAAACTATATTTTCTAGCTTTGTGCCAAATTATAATCTGCAACTTGACTTATAAGTAGGTTTAAATCGAGAAAACAAAAAATTCGTACTTGGAGGCTCTATTTTGCTTAAGTATTACAGGTGATTTATCCGTGGTACTTGATTTGTTTACATTACTACGGAATGTAACTGATCATTTCAGTAGCTCCTCTATCAAGGTACGGCAATTACGTTTCTAGTCTAGTATGTCATCTCATTTGAAGTACTTTGTCACTCGATCTAATCACAGAACGATATGGTCGGCATCGAATTTTGAAATGATTATTTCTAAATTGCCTTCCCATCCGAGCAAGTCCATAACGTTCCTAGATAGACCGTAGGACGTTGCATTACGTTTGATCCGTTCGCACACAGTTTAAAACCAGTTCGTCAACGTTTTGAAGAATGCAGTGGCAACTAGGTTGGTGTGATAGCTTTACTTTTGCTAAGTCGTTCATTAGCAGTCTTTAATACGTCCTTGATCTGTTTAAACACGTTTGCAATTAGTTTAACTCGTTCTCAATCCGTCCCACGACAGTTCAACTCGTTCTAAAAACATCCCTAGCAGGACCTAAGAAGTAGGACAGTTCCGTTCGAAGAACGTCCAGTGAATGGCGTGATACCTAGTATTTATTTGGCGAAGATAATGTACAGACAGAGTATCAATATATTAAGATAATGCAGCTCTGTCAATTCATGAAATGTATGAGGCAAGACCAAATGTAGATTTAAATGTCACCATAAAAAAGTGTGTCGGCGCTTTGCAGTTGGTGGTTGGTGGCTAGCGGTAGGCGTCTGTAAGAAATTCTTACAACTTCCAATAACTGAACAAATACTTGTTTTTAGAAAATGATTCTTTGTCTCCTGACCTATCTCAATGGAATAGTTTTTTAATAACATATTGATTTTTGCATCTATAGTACCATCTTCTAAAGTCCGTCATCTGATCAATACTATTATGCTAGGTCCTGGTTCCATTTATCTTACTTCTGGGACACCTTGTATATACAGTCCGGTGTTATAGTGTTTAGCATTTGAAAATCCAGATAACCAAGGAATCACCAGATGGGCCATTACCAACGATGCAATTTCTGGTAGTGACAGACTATAGTTCATATTCGATTTTAAATAAATGCATTATCTTTTCACAAATAAAGTCCACTAAATAATTGTTGTCATATTTAAATATGTGAAAAGTGCTGGTTACTATTAAAATACAATTCACATTTACTTGAGTTAGGCACAAAGGAGTATGGTTATAAGCATTCAGCCGATTGTGCGTGATAGTCCATTTGTCACCCCTATACATACTAAAGTGAACCTATGAATTGTTAAAAACACGATGTTTTATGGTTAATTTATAATAACAAGGGTTTTCTGAAGTGATTTAACTGGGTTGGACAAAAAGTGAGTTTGGGAAAAAATTGTATATCGGCTAATTAGGGAGGGGTGCATTGGCTTAACATGGCGTTGACTATTGACTTAGCGTCGGGATACCACCATGTACCTGGTATGTTACCATGGTGATAGATACAAACATATTCCCCAACGTTAATTTTTGGGCAACCCAGCTAAATCACTCCAATAAATCCTAATGATAGTATTTGCACAGAAAAACATCATGTTTTTAAATATTCATACGTTAAGAAAATGACAAATGGACTAGTCCATTTGTCACCCCTATACATACTATAGTGAACCTATGAATTGTTAAAAACACGATGTTTTATGGTTAATTTATAATAACAAGGGTTTTCTGAAGTGATTTATCACAAAATGATGACAACAACATCAGCTCAGCTTCATTTAAAACCAAGAAGTCTATCCACATTGTTGATGGCTCCGATCCGATTTAAACAAGTGTAACAGCTCCGGTCTCAATCCCGAAACTGTCACGTACGGGTTGCTCACTCAATCAATTAATAACAAGTACGACAAAGCAACCCCTACAAACAACAAACAAACAATATCGAACCAGCAAACAAATGGTAGGGTGATAAGCTGAACGACCACGGCACGTCGTGTATTGAATTTAAGTTGAGAGTTGATTGATTACTTGACTGTATGTAAGGTGCTGCCACCTTTGAATAGAAGAAAAAGTTGAAAACATTAATTGGACATAAGTGATTTGAACAGAATGATGAATTAAACATATGAAGATATCGGGATGTTAATTATTGGGCACTTTTTTTCAATCTAAACCTCCAATCAATGATCGATTACAAACAATCAACACGACATATCAAGTAAAGTTTTAAAGTTTAATTATCATGAATAAATAATTATTCTACATCAGTTTTATCAATAGCAGCGCAAATCACAGCACATTACATAAAATACCTGACAAGGGTCTAAAAACAGATTACAAAGGTCTTACATAAGATGGCAGCTGTATTAGCGCTTAGAATGAAAACAACATTAGCTCAGCTTCAGTGTAAAGCGAATGTCAAAAGGTGGCGCTTTGAATGAAATATCTGTGTGAGTCACATATAAAATCTCACCTGTACTGCTCGCTGAGCAGATCATATCAAAAAATAAAACAGATTATGAAGCAGATTAGTTTAGTATTGTGGTTTAGCTTCGATTGTTGATCAAATAATGGATATTTTCTGACCTATTTGAGTACTTTTGGGCGTAATAAGTCATTCTAAAATGTCAAAATCCATTTAATGAAAATATTTCACTCCAAACAAGTATGCCCAGCACAGCAAGTGAGTGTAAATATGTAAATGTAGCCTCACTCCAACAGCCTAACGGGTCTCATCATCCCTCCGGCTAGCCCGTTATGTCGATCTAGGTCGGCAAAGTATCGAAAATGCAGCAAAACTCACAGATATGTCCGACATCAAACCGCACTTTTACATGGCTGTGGAAAATGGCGCGACTCTAAAATGAGGCTCTACTCTTACAATAAAATTACCCCACAAAAATGCATAAGTAAATAAATAGTTGCTCTGACTCAAGAGTAGAGAGCTCACGTGACTATTTACATGATTACCATGACCCTGCAGCGGTACTATTTGCGCCCCGAATGGAAGGGAAGTAGCGACACTGGGTGAAAGGTTTGCATTTGCAAGGGTTTGCCAACCCCGGATTGCTACACAATTATATTTCTAAAAACAGATATTTCTGTATTTTCTTGCATCGTAACTGATCCAGAGCAAAGCCAACGCAACGTAGTTTGCTTAATAGCCTATTCACATATAGTCAAAAAAGCTGAATCGATTCTATGTGTTTTGCTTTCAGCTTAGTAATCTAGATGATACAAAGGTACAAAAACAGCACTTAAAAAGAGCGGGGTCACAATGTTATAAACAGACACTAGCTACATACTTGATCATAGTGTATTCAGCATCTACAGTATGTTGTAGATAATGTATATATACTATTGTGGGCTCTCAGAGTATGTGATAAGACCAGTATGACCCGACTGCAGTTGATGATCATGGCCGCGACAGGAGCTGCTGGACTTGTACTTGCCATTCTTTTGAAGGTATCTACTCGGTAATTTAGAGTAAGGGCTGGGGTGCATCTACTCGGTAATTTAGAGTAAGGGCTGGGGTGCATTGGGCCTGCTCTTTTTGGCATAAACATTTTAATTATAATGTAAGCTAGTCTATCCAACATCTTAATCCGGGCATCTTAATCATGCATTGTATACGTTTAAACTAGTGATTATAGTATTATGTGTTTATTTGTGTTAATGTGATTAATTAATGCTTATACTGTATAGTCTTATGTGAACCTAAAAATATGCGATTCGACTATGGACCTCATTGGAATTTTGCACTCTCAAAAATTGAGCCCTCCTGACTGGCGGGGAAGGGGGTATTAGACAGTGTATCCTCTCAAATTACTAGGATTATGATTCGCGTCGGTTTGGGTAGGTTTTCCTTCTAACGACTGGTGTAGGGATATTTCCCCTTAGAATTTTTCGCTGTTTCTTGTATCAGTTTCTGTTCCTTATCTTTCGTTCGTATATACCTCGTATGTGGCCTTGATTGTTGTACTTCTTGGTAGCCGTTGAATTTTCTTAATTTTCATACATTGGAGAACATTATAAACCCAAAAGTTATAATCTATGTGCCCGGGGCTAGATATATTAATTAATATGCTCTTTGTGCAAAAGTAAACTATCATATGTCATATGGAATGTCATGTAAAAAATAAAAATAAAACGGGACTCCAATGAGAAAGCCATTAAACTTTCTAAACATACTGAACTACCTTGTCACGCACGTGACTGTTTTCATACCACGATTATTTTGTTATCTGTAAAACACCGATGCTACCACCTGAGAACATATATCTGATAATTCACTTGTTGACTATCTATTTAGATCCAAACATTTTCAATTGCCAACCAAATTCGTTAGATATCACGTATACCCGATCGTTAGTTCACTCTGTTGATATTTAATGACTAGTAGTACATTTCGTGTATAATCCAACAAACAAAATAGATATAAATATATCGGCCCAGTCTGGTCACTTGAGGTGGCATCGGACAAACGGGCATTTCATGATAAGGACGTTACTTTGTGTTTTATTTCTTGACTGCGTATTTCTAAATAGGAAGGGGTTATGAAAAAAAGGTTAAATATCCTCCCCGACGGAAACATTTTTTTGGACAATTAATTAATAAATAGCAATCACTTACTTGTACAAGTTTGAGGTAGTTTATGTAGTTTTCATGCCAAATATAATACCAGTTTGTCATTATACAAAATAATATATTCCACCCAAATATAATATATATATGGACATGTCAATAACGCTGTTCGAAAATTGTATCTCTTCTCAACTCTTAACAGGTAATCTCAGATCGAAAATATTCCCCTGTCACATCTGTCTGTTAATAAACGTAAAACACATGTCTAAGTGTACTCAAAATTACGTTTCAGGTTGAATTTGCATGGACAGGAGGAAATGCCTTCTCTGCGCCAACAGTAGAAACACATTGTGGCCCTGTAGCAGGGGACATAAGCAATGGCGTTTATACATTTAAGGTAACATATGTCTATGTACATGTAATCACGCGCATGCAGGAATGCGTGGTCTTGCCCGAATTCAAGGAGGATTGGCTCCCAGGGTCCCAACTCGATGTTTTGACATAAACGGAGATGTGTCGTGATTAAAAAATTCAAAATCAAACAGTCACCGTTTTTCACTTTATACTATTTGAATAGCGAGCTTTGGTCTTTTTCCAGCATTGAATAAATTGCTTGGAGTGAACTGCAAAGTTTGTCACATTCGAATGTTACATCAATTGTCTCTTGTTTGAAATTTAACTCTGTATAGCTGTCTCATCATGAAAGGTCGACGATTGAATTATTTTTTATATTTCATATATTTTAATATGGTTTAAGGGATTCATTAAATGCGTTGAATGTATTCAACCTTGACTTTAGGGTACAAATAAATTCTTACTTTCAAGTTAAACAAATTATAAGGGGTTACGTATAACAAAACTACTTTGTCACAGTTTCGTTAATGATCTTAAATATTTTACATTGAAACAGGGTTATAAATCCTTCATATCAATCTCATACTTTAGGGTATACCGTATGCAGTTCCCCCTAAACGAGAGCGTCGCTGGAAGGCTCCCGAGGGTTTAAGTCGGGAGAATGGAACGTGCTGGAGAGGTACCTATAAAGCCAAACAGTTTGGCTCTATGTGTCCGCAGCATCTACCAACAGACCAGTCATATGCAGGTAACCATGCCAATTATGCTGGAAGAGTTACTATGGTAATTATGGTAACTTAAGCATGATGGTGTTTTTCTAAACAACAGAGAAAACTTGACTATTTATAAATGTGTTCAATCTCATCCTCCGGACGCAGGGTTTCAGCCACCATCCATTGCATTCCTTTCTTCTTCCGACGTTGGACCATTTACGAATGACTTTGCACTTGGACATTGCACGTGGTTGCTGTCGCTTCGGTCACGTTCAGAGGATGGTTCAACCTTGACATGTTCGTTACTAGATTCGAGTACTACGTCATGTTATAGGAAGGACGTTTTAATTGGATGCGAATAATTAAAATATCTGAAATGAAAGAATGAGTTATTGATAGTTTAAGATGCAAAAGGGGAATAAAATAAAAACGAGACGGGTATTTCGTCAATGGCTAAAAATACTAAGTAAAATGAATTGTATAACTTGGAGCATAAACGCTGATATGTCCGATGCAGTTTCACTACTAGTAAAAGAGAATAGCATAACAAATGTTTAGATTACTCCTCTCCCTTACTCACATAACTAGAATACACCAGTTGAAAGTGATTTTCGAAAAACTCGATAGTCCTTCTAGAGCCTTTATCACTTCATCGAAGCTGCCAAACCTTAGAGAATTGAGATATCAGATCAAAAAATAAAACTCATTTTAAGCATCACAAATCATCAAAAATATAAATTAGTACGAGTGTTGTCCAAAACGTCTTGACATATCAATTGCTCTCATATCAAAAAACGTTCTTCGTATATTACATATAGCAATTGCCTTTTAGAAATATCTCATTTATCCTCAATCAAGTGGATGTAATTTTCAATATTATTTATGATAATTCTCAAATATGATTTTCAGGGGATGAAGACTGTCTATACGTCAACATCTTCACACCAACACTAAACCCTAAAGCCAACCTTCCTGTGCTGGTATGGATCCACGGGGGCTATCTGTTGTTCGCAAATGGCAATTGGCCGAAATATGGACCCGATGAGGACACTTCGGCAAAATTGAAGGAATTTGTATTTGTCACTTTTAACTATAGGTATATGCATTTGTGTGCGTGTGGTCCACATGTTTTCATCATAATTTGATCACCCAAGTAGAAACGCATAACATTATTATTGTTATTTCATCACTGGTCTCATTCTCATTCACTTGATTTCAAATCCATTTGGACCCAGTGGAACTTTGCACTTATGACTAGTTTTGGGATATTGTCTGAAAGCATCTGCGTTTTACAAGAACGCATATGGTTAGATAGGCAAAAGTATCATAAGAATTGAGACTAATTCCTGACAAGAACTCCATACTATGTATATAAATTGGTGGAATTTTCAGGCTTAACATATTTGGGTTCTTAGCTCTTGATTTGTTGAGCGGTGCATCTCCAACTAAACATTCGGGCAACTATGGGTTTATGGATCAAATATTGGTCCTTAAATGGGTGCAACGAAATATAAAGGCATTTGGAGGAAATCCTGATTTGGTAAGCGACTGTTTCTCAGTAGTTTCAACAATTTCCTTTTTTAAAAGCCACTCGTAAAATCTAATAAGGAATGGATTGAAGGACAATTGGTACTTTCTGTATTTTGTATCGTATTTCTAAAGATTTCTATTGGGAATAAATCTGGGTTGTGCTGAAAACGTTGTGCGATGTGCGAAACCTCTCTAATATCGTTATAGTCCCACAATACAGTAAAGATTATTTTTAGTTTTCAATCTTTAGGTTACGATCTATGGACAAAGTAGTGGAGGGACTTCTGTGTTTGCGCTGATGTTGTCTCCATTGGCCGATGGTCTATTCCACAGGGCTTGGTCTATAAGTGGGTCTCCAATTATAAACAAAGATCTGGCCACAGTATCTAAAGACAATCTAAAAATCCTCGAGGCAACTGGGTGTACCACATTAAGATGTCTTCAACAACTTGAGTAAGCGCTCATTGTACTCAAATTGTATTATGTACCATACTCAAATTGTATTCGAAAAATATTTATTTCCCACAGAAATTATCAGTCTTAAATTGGTTTGAGTATACATGCAGGTTTTTACTCATTATGTATTTATCTATTTGAGATTTTACAAATATTGTCAAGTGTTCACTGAAGTATTTTGAATTCTTATAATAATGTTATATATCCATCTTTGGTACATTTTTTTTCATTTTTGGTACATCTTATACACAGTATTGACTTTATACTCAGATTATATTTAACTCAGTTCAAAATGCGAACTCACATTGTATTGTGTGAGGCTATTCTCGTATTGTATGTGTACTTACAGTTATGATTAATTGAGCATATCAATTCAGAATTCAGCATTTAATCATTTTTGAGAGTTTTAATGATATTTACAGTTGATGTAAAATAGGTATTGTCTTTCTTCTTCACTGGTGATCCACTCGATTACGCTGGTACCGTTTCGGTAACAAAATGTCGGAACGTCGAAGGTACGATTTTTCTTTTTTCCTTATTTCACACGTTTTAGGCAGAATCCCCACGGTATTTTTATCACAAACATATATCAGTATCATACGTTTAAGAAAATGTACATATTTGCGAACAAATAGTTCAGAAGACAACAGAATCGTCGATTTAATTCCTCACTTAAGTTACAGAAACGGTATTGTGAAAAACAGTTAAGATCTGCACTTTTAACCCATACCGTTTCTGTAACTTACGACGATTTTGTTTCTATGTAGATTTTCTAAAACATATGACACTGATACACGTTTGTGTGAAAATGTCGTGGGAATTCTGCCTACAACGCATGAAATAAGGAAAAAAGAAAAATCGTACCTTCGACGTTGCGACATTTTGTTACCGAAACGAACCGTTTTGGTAACCAGCGTAATCGAGCGGATCACCAGTGTTCTTGTTATTCTTGTTAATACTCTATCGTTTTATAGTCCTAAAAAGTTGGTCCAGGCGATGGAAGTTCTCTGGAACTATGTGGAAGAGATGTCAGATCTGCCTACAAAGGGGAACTTTGATGCATCGCTTATTTTTGCTGATGGTAAGATAGTCTGTGTTATAAGCCTTTCCCGGAAGATAATTCCTCTGGTACAGATTTTCCTGTCACCCAAAAAATGTTCTTCCACAGCTTGCTCTGATTGAATGTAAACTATTTTGTAGAATTAGTTTTCTAAGGATCAATGCATCATCAAATTGATAGTGGACAATGCAGGTTTTGGACGATAGTGGAGATTTTAAGCTTGCAATGTATTCGACAACGTAACCGTGAACACAACGTCCATGAATCAATACAGTAATGTGTATAAAGTGCGCGTCCAAAACAAGCATGTATCATGGAAAACCGGCTATAAAACTATCAATGGCATATTACACAATAATGTGTAGTGTAAGTAACGGACTAAGTAAACATGCATTTGTATAGGGCGATTTATACGTACAGGTTGCCGTTTCGATTTTATATGCAAGCTTAAAGTCTGCATTATCAACACCCCAGTTTTATATATTTTATGATATTTATTTGGTGATATTGTTGTGAAGTATAATTCTACTTTTAGGAACAGTTATCCCCGATCTGAATTTCAAGTGGAAAGACGTACCATTCATGATAGGTACAATTTCATATTATTCGAACATCATCGTCAATTTCTCAGAAGTTCAAATCTGACTTTAGATTTGAAATTTGCCCTTGAATAACCTTCTTGAGGTCGAAGTTGGTCAGAAAGGTCTTTTTGCAACTTGCTTCAAATTGACCAGAAATTTAAATTTTTAGTATTAAGATTTGACTTTTTTCAATGACTTTTTCAAGGCAAAAAGATCTCAGAAGTTTAAATCTGACTTAAGATTGAACTCATAATATTGTGACCAACTATGTGGTGACATTTTGTCATGTGAATGTCTTGTCATTAATTGTTGCATACGATATTGTAGCATTTGTGAATCTTAAACTCAATAAGTAAATTCTCTATTGACAATGATTTCTCAACTTGAGGTATATGTTTATTCGAGTAAAGTGGGACTTCAGCAGCCTATATAAAACATTTACATTCACTTTACTTTTTTCAGGCACAACTGCCCAGGAGATTGACATGGGGCCAGTCCCTGCTGAAGTAAGAACATGGAGCAAGCAGCAATACAATGCATATGTTAAGACGAAACTAGACACATTTGGTAAGGCTATATCAGCCAAGGCTCTCGAGCTTTATCCAACTTCCAATTCCAGCGACCCAGAGTATCTGTACACTAGTATGGTATCTGACATGAGGGTGAACTGCCCCAATGATGTATTAGCCAATCAGGCTCAGAGCTCAGATAGAACGACAGGCGTTTATAGATACGTCATCACAGAGTTTCCATCAGTCCCAACAATAGCCTTCAAGGGGTTTACATTCAAAGCCAAGTATGCTTTCCATAATTTTGACAATATGGCTTTTTCTGGCCACATACCGAATTTTATTGAATCACCAACAGCAAAAGACATACAGTTTCAACAGACAATGATGGAAAATATCATAAGTTTCGTACAAATTGGTTATCCAAAGGCAAGCAATTGGAAGCCGTGTCCAATGGGTACCGCATTGCTAGGGGCCAAAGTGAACTTTTCTTCTGGCGCCCATGGCTACGCACCAAATAAATGCAAATTTTGGATGGAGAATCACTTTTATGATTATGCATGGATTAATTAAACCAACCATTTTTAAATGTTGATAGGCTAATATGAAATTACAGCTTTAGAAATATACTAGGCGACATATTTTATTCTGTGACAAAAATTGATTCAAAATAAATAAAGCAGTTAATTTTCACAATAAGATCCCTAATTACTGATGCTGAACAAAACATTATGTGTGTTCACTGGATACCACACATTTTTCACTGGTACTGCACTCTTCAATTGCACACTAGACGCGAAAATGACCCGTTTCGGTAACAAAATGTAGGAACCTCGAAGGCACGATTTTTCTAGAGAGGGTGTGACTTACTCCCCGAATATCTTGCCATCTATTTTTTACCATCAGTCATAAAGATTGTTAGCAGATTTTTGGTATCGTTACGTCTTCCCATTAAAACTCAAAATAAGGTTGCATTTATCTAAAACACTTCAACAGTTGAAGACCATTTACTTTAATTTGATAGTTCTCTGTTAGTCCACCTCCTTCAAGATCGTTCTCTCTCCATAATAATTCATAACTCTCATTTCATGTTATGAATGCCTTTCCTTGTACCTTTATGTTGGATAAAGAAAACAGAAAATGAATATGCTGTTAGATCAATTTAACAAAATATGGAATTTAGAATTAACACTCGAATATCAAGTCATACAAACCAAATTCATTCTCACCCATAACAAAAAGTAACAGGCCAGCAGCATAATGGCAAGGGACTTGACTGAAAGATTAATTCTGCGTCAATTCATAAAGGTTTGTTTCTTTTTATTTTGTGGACGAAGAATTTAGAGATTTTTTACCCCCTCGAGTTATATTTTATCTTAACATTATAGGGAGATATGGTGATGGGTTTAAGACTAAGAGAAAACATAATTTAATTGAATAAATATTAAATACCATACTTACATTTTCGTTCATTTTTCAGTCGTACCGACTTCATTTTTGCAGCTTCAGAGAGAAAATAGGCAATAATAGTGCCCCAAGTAGCATTCAAAAAACATTATCAAACTATGTATAATCATTAATAATTGAATACTATTTTTACCTGAAAATACAAGGACGTGAGAGTGCCACACTTGGATCAAAAATGTTTTCACGAGTACTAGTACTCGTGTTATCTTAGATGTATGTGTGATATTGTTATAATATTGTATATTGTACACTCACATTTTCCACGAGTATTTCTATTTTTCACCTTTACCTTTATTCTTAAAATAAAGCTTACATTTACCTCTGAGGTTGAAGTGGTATACTTGAAAAATCTCTTGAGTAAGAACGAGTGGATAACACACGAATGAGTGAAATTGAGTATCTTGAGGGGCGGGACCGAAGAACCACGTAATGAGTAACTTGCAAACGTTTAATAAAAGGGTGCACCTTTAACACGCCCGGTGATCGTACAAAAATGATGGAGGGGGATCAGGCGATTTCTGTAAGAAAAATTTGGAAGATTTATTTTTTCAAGAGAAATTTTACAACTGAATTACCAAATGAATAGGCGCAGTGCATGGCAAAATATGTTAGGTCATCTAGTATTTTTTTGAACTGATACCCTTCTAGGATATGAGATCTATCAAAAAAGGCACATCATCACCAACCTGCAAAAGTCAATGTTTTTGCTATAAATCGGGCAACAATGGTCTACGACCTGTAATAAATAGGTATAAGGGACGTTATTATCACAATACTTATATGACATTGCTCACTTTGCGTTATACAAATAATAATCGAAATGAATTAATTTGGGATGGAGGGGGGTATCGGATGGAGGGGAGGGATCGGATGGAGGGGGAATCACGCGTATGTAAGACATGATCGAGGAAATACAAACAATCGAGGAAATATTTGCAATTTCAATGGCGTGATAAAACATTTCAATATTACATATTTGCCACAATGCTTGTCATCAGCCCCTTGAATATTCACAAAGATGTTAACCCTGGTTTTCGATGTTAAGGAACGGGGGTTATGGCTGTATCTTACATAGATGACGCGTGTTTGTTTGCAGATTCATATGACGACTGCCGAGACAACATCTTAAGACTATTGAACGCCTTCAGAGCCTTGGTTTTATCATGTGTCCTGAAAAGTGAGACCTTGACCCAAATCAGGTTGTTGTATTACTTTTCTTCTAAGATTTTGCACCTTGCTTGTTTATTTCTTCTCTTTAATCATTTTATTTAACCTAGAAGGTAACAGTGAATAAGTACCATTGTTACCCTGTAGGGCTCTACAAAATGTACATTACAAAAAGGATGTAAACTTGATAAACATTTAATTAATACTTAATAAATAAATTGGTTTTCATTAAGATTAAAAAAACATAAGAATCTCAATTATATCTACTACAGATACACGTTTAGCTCCAGATTTTGGCTTTTCAAACGGAAAATTAGAAATGTCATGTTGGTGTCAACGGGAATCATTACACTCATATCCGTCAAATACATGGTTGTCAATTTTGATTTCATTGAACAGTGTAATTCTTTCTGAAGATTATATATGTCATACATGTTTGAAATCCAAATATCTTACGAAACGAGCTTGTTTAAAATATGGATCAGAAAACCGGTTATAGAACTATTAATAATATATTACATGCTGCTGCACCAAGGCTGTGATGTGATCTAATCAAAACAAGGAGACTCAACGGCCATTTAACCGAGAAATTCAAATGGATTTGTACATGGGCAATTAAATCGTATAGGTTTTCGTTTCGATTTTATTTGCATTTTAAACTCTCTAATCTCTCATCATACCGTACCCCTCGCCTTCGATCAAGCCACGACTAATTGGTACATCCCCAGAAGTATTATTTGATAACAACAACACACTGCACTGAAGTACATGTGTTTTGTTTCGTTATCCTTCCACTTCAGGTAAAGAACAACTACTTACACGTTTATATTTGATTGTCTCCACTTTTTATGTTTGTATCTTCACTTTATCTTCGAACATTCACTATTAGAAGCGAACATATTCAGGATGAACGGTTCAGTCGTCTTCGGGTGTATCTTGGTTGTCTTAGTAGCAGTGTCGGTGAGAACATTTGTATTATTGATATCTCGGATGTCGAAGATAACAGAATTGAAATACATTTCACACTAACATCCGTTTTAACATACCGTTGCTTATAAGTACTGCTTATTTAAACTTTCTCCAGGCGAAAGATTGTGATGTTGGAACTGATTGTGGTGACGTTGCGGGATTATGTTGCGTGAGCAGACAGCGACCCCGGGGTAAACGCTCGGCGGACGAAACATCTACTGGGACTTGTCAGCCAATGGGCGTTGAGGGAGCAGGTACTGCATATAATGTGTACATTGTGTGGCATACTGTAGTGATTTTGGTATATTTTTAAGAACAAAGATTCCTATAAGATATTTTCGTTCCTTTGGAATTATCCTACTCTTGCTATATTTGTTATTTTCGAAGGAGATTACTACAAAAAATATATTTCCATGTTTATCTTACTGGAATCTTTAATTACTTATTTGAATGAGTTTTAATTTCAACATTAAAAACATGCACGTGCATGCTCGGCTATTTTTTGATTATTTTTTGAAATTCACAAAAATGCACAAACATTATATGGGTATGAATTGCTGAATCTGGTGTTGAAATAAAATTGATATTGAACGATTTGAGTTATAGTTATAAAAAGTTACAATGGAATGTAGGGGTAGACATTGTTCAAAGTAATCTATCTAAGTATTCCATGTCCAACATTGTGCATATTGAGACAGCTTATAAAAATTCTAAGGTGAATATATAGATCCCAGTCAGATTCGTTTGTAGTAGGATCAGTAGCTCAATAAATATTCCTGAATTATTCTTTGAGCCTATGAGATCCTACTACAAACGAAACGACCTGGCCAACATATATGGGTGAATACACCTTTATACACGATATAACTTATTGTTAATTGTTTCCTACTTTCTGCATTAAATTTAAGACTGTTTGGTGAGGAACAATGACGAGGACTACAAATCTACGGCTGTTTATGTCAACTGTCCATGTGCTGAAGGGATGACATGTAAAGGCATTGGTGTATTTGACATGCCACTTGGTGAGCAAGGTAAAAAAATTGTTTTTTATTAATCATTTTTATTTCAAGTTCATAACATTTTATATCATACAATGAAAATTCAACAAAGTTAATCAATACATTTGTGTTGAAAATCAGTTGCAACTTGTGTTGTGATATTTTTGGTACATCGATGTTTTTTGGAAAATTCCAGAGTTATGTGATTTATATGTTGTGCGTCATTCTATAGGTGCCTCGGTAAATTTGAGTGGTCAGTATCTGGAGAAAGTTGCGGAGTTCCTTTGTCATACAAGCTTAAAAGCTTGATATGGTCGAACTTTTAAAGCATAGTTCAATGGTGAAGATGAAAACTAAAAAGATCGAAATTTACTGTCGGCCATTTTGAAAGAGAAGATAACGGCTGTTGCCTTCTCCTGATACTGACAAGATAATTCTGGTTATGCAAAGCACATAATTTCTTTCATCTGCACCAGCAACGAGTATCTATGTGTGCTTTTCAAGTCAATAATTAAACAACGAGGTGGAAGGTGGATTTTTCTTGTAGATATCGTGAGTGTTGAGACTTGGTTTTACTTGTATCACGAATAAAAAAAACTATTATCAATTCTAGTTCCTGTATGCACGATCCTTTTTAGAAGATAGATTAGCCTTGGACAATATTGATATGTTTCACTTATATTGCATATCTTCTTTAAATTATCTTTGCATCATACATTATACTGGAGCACTGGAGCAATTGTTTAAAAACCTCATGGATGGTAAACGAAAGACTAAATGTTTCATAGCAGCATAATGTTGGGAAAGACAATTTCATTATTTGTTCTTTTTCAGGAAAATGTAGGAAGACATAAGCGGGATGGAGATACTAACTTTTTGAAGGACTTCAAAAGATTCGAGTAAAGGGACTTGTATAATGCTCTTCATGACTTAATGCCTGGAATTTATAATATTGAAATGCACATACAAGTCAGATTTATGATATACATGTATATACAAGGGTATTGTTACGTTATCTAATTTGTCATTGCGAGATGCTTCCTTATAAGGGAATGTTAGTGGCTTGTATTGCCAATACGTCAAAACCTGCAGTTGATCTTGTAAATTATATAGTCCGTGCTTTGTTTTACTAACCCTACTATCACACCAAACTAGTTTTCACTACGTTCTCGAAAACGGGCTTCAACTGTGTACGAACGGACTGGACCTACTAAGAACCGTTTGGGATCTATTTACAAACTTCATCGAACGTACTCGAACTGGTAGGTCCTCTAGAACTTAGACAATGCTCAAAATGTACTCGTGGTCGTCACGTTCTACAATTAGAACGAGTGACAACGTACTAACGACGAACTGAACGTACTACGAACGGAACCATCGTACTTCAATCCTACTAGGGACGTTTTAACAACGAGTTGAACTGTCTGAGGACGTGTCGAGAACGAGGTAGAACTAATTGCAAACGGGTTTAAACTGATTAAGAACGTATTTAACACTGCTTATGAACGAGTTAGCAAAAATACAGCTATCACACCAAACAAGTTGCCACTGCGTTCTTCAAAACTGATTTGAAACTGTGTGCGAATGGAATGAACGTAGCTGCAACTTTCTAAGGTCTATTTGGGAACTTTATGAACGTCCTCAGACGGGAATGTGATTCTAGAATTTTGAATCGATTCAAAATTCGATGGCGACCATGCCGTTCTGTAATCAGGTCATGTTGACCTTTTAGACTAAGGGGCGCGTTCTACGACGTTGCACACCGACGTGGTGCGACCTGAACGAACTGCGAACGAGATTGACGTATTGAAGACTGTTTAAGGACGAAGAAGCTAATTATTTCAGACATATTTCCCGACCACAGCCAGATTGAGCCCGTTTTACGACGTTTTCGTAGGACTGGCAAGAACGGGTAAGAACTAGTTTGGTGTGATAGGGGGGTACTGTACGAATTTACGACGATTATTATTCTGGTGTTCGAATTATCAATGCGTTTGTTATTCATTTGCATGCAGTTTTCACATAGTGTAGGCTATAATATAAGTATAGGCATCAATTTGCATTCCAATCCAATATCGTACTAATCGTATTAAATCTATGAATATACTTGATACGTCCCAACAACCCCTGCATGAAACTAATAAGTGAAGGTCTGACATGATCAGCCTAAGATCTATGTGAAGGGTTTGGCGAGGAAATCCTGAAGTTTTAAAGGATACAAAACATAGGGTGAAGTTGAGTGACTGAGGCTACCAAAAAGGCTAACATCATTTATACAGAATAGTCACAATTGTTAGCCGGTTGTCAAATAATCAAACTAGATAATCTCTCTTTGGTCTATGGTGTTTAAACTGCTTCTTTATTCGGTACATTAAGTATTCCGTAAATACCAAATAAAACACAAAATTTACCAAACCTTTACCCAATCTATCGAATGTTTTTTTTTATTTTATCAAATGTAATAATCTATACAATTCATATTCGCTAAATAGTTTCACTTGTTCTTTGTGTTGGCATTCACATTTGATATTCATACATGTATTTGTGTGATGCAGCGAATCAATTTGTTTTCCTAAACGCACGTATAATTCAATTAATCATTTTGTACATTCGGTGTTTAAATTATTTATATTCGGTAAATACCGAATGCCACATTCGATAAATTTCGTTATTTTTCGATACTTTACGAGACTTTCAGTCACGTGATATATTTGAACCATGCAGAAAAGCTGCCATTTTGCAAATCTCGAGGTCACGTGACAAAATATCGAACAACAACGAAAGTTATCGAATATTACTTTATTGCATTCGGTAAATAGCAAATTAGCTTTCGGTAAAATCTATTAACTATGTCATAGAAAAATAAACCATTTAGTAAATATAGGCAAACTTATTTCGGAAGGGTTCAAATAGAAATTCAATATTGTGCATATAATGTGTTACTCTTAAGGAATACCATAACAATTTACGCAAAAAAACATATCATTAAGCGAATGAAATATGTAATTTAATGCACATAGTATTAAGTGATTGGCTATTATGAAAACTAAATTTGCTGTAACAAACAAATAAACGTTTTTACCGAATGGAAAAATGATTTAGCGAATATAAATATTTCATATATCGAATATATTTTAATTTAATGAATAAAGAAGCAAAAATAATGCCATATTGGTCACAATAATATAAGGCTTATTCGGTTTAATGTATGTCAATAATGCAGTGTAAAGCTTCAGTCACATTTGCTCAAGGGCGGGCGTACGATGGCCGTAGCTTCACAAAATCGATATTTATTTTATGCTGCACTCAATTTTGGGAAGCTACGGCCGCCGTTCGGTCGCCGTAGATCAAATATGACCGAGGCATTACTCTTTGAGAATAGTACAATGTAAAATACTTCTCGGTTTTTATATAAATAAATAATATGTATATTAATATTTAGAATTAATATATAATAATTCAATACTAATATGATAAAACATTATAGTATGAATTTTCAAAATCAACTTGTCCTTTAAAAATTATCAAGGAATACCGATAAATTGCAGGAAACATAATGTACAATATTGTAATACGTACATATTATCTACAATTATAATTCTATCCATAAATCATTATATCAAACCATATACAGAAAAAGAATATCAGATGAACGTCACATACTTCGTAGAAGCCTTAATTAATAACATCCCTTCAAGATATCATCCTACCATTACTTTAATTAATAGCCTTATCAAAGCAAGCCCGGAATGCAGTCGTATAGTTTATTGATTCAGTCTCATGAAATCATTTTATAATTAAAGGTTGAATCGGAGAATATGTCGTATTCTTGATCTTATTCTGTTCAATTCTCATCGTGTATTATTACTTCCCCGAGTGCAAGTACATGTATTCTCTAAAATTCAAAAACGTCAAATCTTAGACTAATGCTAGAAGAATTAATTAACGAGTTTGCGGAAGTGATTCTTGTATTCTGAAATGGTTGAGCACCTTTTATGTTTTTTCAACGGAAAAAACATTTGACGTACCAAAGTAATTCATCAAAGATTAAGAATAATCCCAAATTACTTAAAAATATCAAGTTATGGTTGCTCATGTTTATGACAATATAAGAAATTCGAAGTTCTGAAACAAAGTGAGAAGAGATAAACCACAAAAGAATACATGCCATGGAATGATGATTGCAAAAAGATATGTAACGTATTCCCTTAACTGGTCTCCAACCTATCAGATCCTTCGAGCAGACTCCCTCCGGACACAACACATTGTCAGTTTATGCCGTGGTCGTTTCGTGGTCACATTTGCTTTGATTTTCAACTACCGGTGCCGGTGTAAAAGGGTAGGAGGTCCTATCAAATTATGGTCCTACTCTCGATTGATTTATATGGTGACCTAAATACATCTCTCTCCCTTATCATCTTATACACAATCAGGGCCAGTTAAGTTTGACAACCTGCAGACGTCTTCATTTAATAGCGTATTAAAATCTGTCTATGTTAGACATTTCCATCTCGTTCCTATATTATGTGGTTTTGTTAAAGCATCCGTTGGAGGGCTTGCTGATAAACGTTCAGATATTGTTTCTATTAGTTCTAGACTACTTTGATCAAAAATCATCTAGGTAAATCATGATATACAATTCTGATTGAGTTCGACAATGCCTGTAAATTCGAAATCATAAGTAATCCCTTAATTATTAACCGTGAAAGGTTTTTTCATTAGAAATATTTTGTCATATTTGTGACTCATTCTGATATGTCTATCCACATTATAATATATTTAATGAAGAAGGAGAATTCGAAAATGGAAATATAATATAGCCAATGCTATTTTCCCATACTAGATATTTTTTAAAGAAAAAATAATATGTTAATTTAATTTCTAATTTCCAGTTTCTTCTTGTGAGCTATGAACTTTTTTGTTAGGAAAATAAGACCATAATGCCTTGGTCACATTTGCTCCGATTTTTACGACGGCGCCCGGCCGATTGAGTATTTTGTTCAGAAATATATTCAATTTTGAACAAATACTCAATCAGCCAGGCGCCGGCCGATGAATCGCAGCAAATGTGATCCAGGCATAACTCGCGATTCAAAATTCTGAAGTTAAAAACGGCGACTTCTTACTTTTGAATTTGGTGATAACGACGGGTCTCCATATATGGCAGAATATCGTGATAGAACCCCGGGACCAAACCTCTTTGTCACTCTACTGAGGAGAATACAACCTTATTTTCAATGATTGTAACAAGGTTCAGGCCCGTAGCGAGGGGGGGGGGTTCGCAGGGTTCTTTCAAAATCATGCAGTTTTTCACCATTTTGAGCACTTTTCAAGTGATTTTGACCATATTTGGGCCTAAATTGTCAAATGTGAACCCCCCCCCCCCTGGAAATTTTTGAAAACTGAACCCCCCCCCCCCCTCCCCCCTTGGCAAATCCTGGCTACGGGCCTGAGGTTTATTCCCTGATGCCAGCCGATTATTGTATTTTGCTTATAGACTATGTCTGTTATCTAATGTTACATTGATTGTCAACATGTTTCTGTGAATAAATGCCTGCTTAACTGAAAACCAAATTAAACATTATCTTATTGTAACAAATCATACACCCTCGTCAGTTCAGCCATGACATATTTTCACAATTTTAACGTATTAGTCGATACATGGCGTTAAGAATGTGAAAAAGAATATACACCCTTTTAATAAGAGTCAACCAAAATGCATCACGTATGTACTTACTAGTATTTTATGAGAAACGAACTAAGATAGAAATGCAAAAAGGTATGCAAAATGCCAGAGTATGCAATAATTAAGGCTACAGAGGATTGGCACCCAGGGTTCCATCTCAATATTCTCCCATGTACACCGTGTCGTGGTTACGAAATTTTTGCAGTAGAAATCAGCACTGAACGTATTGCTTGGAGATCAAAAATATTGAGTTAGAACCATGGACGCCATAATGGGTAATAATTGCAATTAGCTACATTACACGTAACTTTTAATGAGCTTATCTTGTAATTAAACTTCTGTAACCATACAATTTCCACTGGTTTAAAATAATATAAAAATTGTGTTCGTTTCCACATTTGTAGACGTATATCTCGAAATTTTATTGCGAGATATTTCGTATTGCAGGCATTGCACATTAAACGCGAAAACGATGGAGAGGAATCCAGGTTACTAAATGTATTCAAGCTGTAACTATCAGGAAATGTTCAATTAGTACTGCATTCAGTTTCATTATTGTAAATCAGACTACTGGCTATAAACTCAAAGGGATATCTAGTTACACTCTCTTGTATGCGTCTGTATACGTACAGACAAATGGCTGAAACGTTTTTCATTTATAATGTAGAAAAACGGAGAAAAATCAATATTAAACATGCGTTAATGTGTCAGCGCTATCGTTGCATATAATTCCATGCTTCGTTAGCAGATTATCAACACACCTTGTAAAATAACTATTGAGAACGGAGTGGAACTTAAACAAATGCATTGTGATAAAGTGTGTAATTGCGCAATTTAATATTCCAATAACTATGGAACAATATCGAGATAATACGTTGTGTCATTTATAATTAATGCTCCGAGACATGATAACGCGCTATTATACAATGTTATTCGTTGTTTGTATCGGAATCTCGCTGAAACGCATTACAACAATTTCTATGCTTTCAGGAAGAGAAAGCTTTCAGTAGGTATTCAATTCACAGCTCGCTAACCACACCTAGGTGACTACTGTGGAAAACTGGATCTTCAGATCGATGGATTTAATGCAGTAACTGAAGTCTGATTGAGCTATTGATGTTGGGATCTTGGTGGTTCTTCGTCGTCCAGGTATTAGCTTGTGCTTTTAAGCGGTCGTAGAATTTCAATTGTGTACAGCGGAATTGATGCAGCAGTGAATTCTGAGGATTTTTCATCGCTTTGAATAAACTCGTTCTCGAGCATAAATATTGTTGATTCTGACAACTGGCCAGCAGTACAGAGATTACCACAGTACCACTGTGATTAGATTTATCTTAAACTGGATCTCGTAGGCTATTCACATAAATTTTCTGGATTTAAGTTGTCGACGCGATGATAACACAAAGACTTAGTGCTGACGCTCAATAATACCTGAAAATAGATATCTCGAGTTGGTTTCATATTGTTATTTTGACAACTGAACTATAAGAATGAGACGATCAAACCGACAACGGAACGTGCTGCCACCTATAGGGGATTTCAGCAACCTGCAGAATACAAAAGACGATTATGAAGATGATGATGAAGAAGGAAACGACAACAATGAAATTCACATGGATATACGCCAGGCGCGAAGTGCGCCAACTAGCCCACGTATTCCGAGGCATCGTGAACTGATATCACTCGACAGTCGAAAACTAAGGCCAACGTCGCCAAACCTGCCTCAAAAAACACAAACAAAGAAAGAATCAAAATTAGAATTAAGGAAACGGCTATACCAAGCGAAATCAGACACCAATATTAGAGGAGTTGATGATGAAAATAACTTTGGAGATAGGTGTATAGAAATTGGTACGCCTGCTCCTGGATTTCATACTAGTCTTGATGTAAATGTCGACGGTGTAGGAGGTTTGGACAATGATGACGGGGATATGTCATTCCCGGCGATAAAGGTCGATTCATGTGCCGATAGGAAAGCATCAATCATCGCTGAAAGCTTTGGTGATACGCATTCACTGTCACCGCGGCGTATAAGCAGTAATGTAAATATTAGAAAAGTCTCTAGCTTCAGTAATCTAGCAAAGCAGAAACAACCTTTATTCAAGTCAAGACAAAACAATACAATGGAACCTGATTTTGTTTCAGTCTCCCAAATACCAGTCAATTTGTCACGATCGGAAAATGACATATATGGAAATGCATCGCATGATGATGACGTATCATTCAGTGCTTTAGCAGCCTATTGTGAATCGCATTCGGATTACTCTTCCGATGAAACACTAATTATTCCCGGGAATATTCATCATAGCGTAAATGAATGCTCATCTAAAAAATCTCCCAGGATGAATCGCAAACAGTACAGAGATGTATCCCACCAACTTCCTCCAGTGAACCCAAGAGAAGTCGGCTCGAAAATTAAAACGGATGGTTCGGTTTGCAAGTCGTTTAACGTTACAGACCGGAGTAGCAGTATGTCAAATGTGTCAAGTGATTCAGCAACGTCGTGTACCAGTCCAGATGGAGGCATGTCACCAGGAACCAGACGACGAGTCAGGGAAACTCATATTGAAAGTTCAGTTCATTCCCTCCATACGCCTAAACCACCACGTTCTCCATCACCAAGACGACGACTTGACAACAAATGGGTCGTTCAGGATGACGTAAGCTTAAATAGATCGCGCAGTGTTTCTCCGAACGTCTGCAAAAAACCAATCCGACTTTTGCCTATCGAATATGAGGAAACAAAATGATAGAAGATGTACGACTACAGCTCGGAATATTTACATTGTTACATACATTGTGTGTGCGATTTGCTTTTTCATTATAGCATGATTAAAATCTATTGTTAACTGGCCATGGTATAAAGTACAATTAAGTGCTATAATTATACGATACAGTATTTGTTGAATAAAACATGCAGCTATTGAAACAATACAGTACAACTAACTGATGTGTCCATCCATAACTTTAAGGCTGCAGTACAGTTAAACTGTGTCTAACCAAACCCGTCTGGCCCAGTTATCTACTCCTGACGTCGTAGATCTATGACATTTCAGAATCGGGGAGTAGATAACTGGGCCAGACGAGTTTGGTTACCTTAGTAGGTAGATTTATGATTTAACTAAACCTATTCCACAAGTAGATTGGATATTATTGCAAAATGTGATTTGGATACAGTTTAATGACCTTACTGTAAGTGATTCTTACCCGAGAGTACGATTTTAACGAATTGTGCGGTGAAGCGGATTTACCGGAGAATGCTGTTTAATCCCTACCTGTGGTCTAAACCAAAAATAAAATGAATTTAGAGGGAATTATTAATTCACTTGATCTTGATATAAATTATTTATTGTAAATGACAGGGGTCAGACAAGAGTTTTTGATCATCAAAATCAAATCTGTACGATTCTTTCCTCTATTAAAAATCAATATCATAAGTATATAATCAGTGCATATGCCATATATTTTGCCAGTCGTCAAGCTTTTATATTTTTACTGTTTTTAAACAGAAAGTTTTACAGCATGGTGGGGTCACTTGGTTTAGAAAAACCTCCGTTCAAGATTCCGTCACCAGCAGAACCATTGCTTGTGAAACCACGCTTCATTGAATCAATGGCACATGGCGTGTCGTTTTTCAAAGTAAATCCGGATCCCCTAGTTTCTTTGCATTCATCCTTCTTAGCGATGTCAAAATTTTCTGCTTCTAAAATCGTCTCTGGTAAGCATTTATCTTTCGTCTCGGGAAGCAGAAAAGCTAGACAACCAGCAAAGAACGGAAAAAGTCCCAAAATCACATAAGGTAGTCCGTACCAAATGTTCCCCAATAACGGAATATTAGGACTAATTAGGCCTCCTATTCTTCCGAAACTAGAGCCACTACCAAGGCCGACATTCCTCACAGGGGTAGGGAATATTTCTCCACTGTATAAGTACAACACTTTAAACACGATTCCAATAAGTAGGGCGCCGCACAGGGCTATCGTTGTGGTCAACGCCGTGATCTTAGTTGGTAAAATTCCAATCAGCACCCAAGATAAAATTCCATTCGTGATCAAGAAAGTTATCAATATAGACTTTCTGCCCATCTTGAATAATGCAATCAACATTAGTATGGGAGAAACGAGGTCAGGAACACCATTGATTATGAAATTGTTTAAATAAATGTCCCCAGGTATCAATGTGCCGATGTTAAGTGACATGGCGTAATAACCAAATACAACAGCAAACCACTGCGCCCAGAGCACCAATGTTCTCTTCCTCATTTTAGGGGAACGAAATAAGTCGATGACCGACTCATTCTTAGCAGGTCCTTCATCCAGGCAATTCGTTTTGGTTGTGACGTCATCCTTTAAAGTAAAACCATCAGGAAGGGTTACTTTGTTAATTTTAGCAATTCTCTTGCTTATATCTTCGGCTTCCCGATATCGCCCCTTGGCAATCAACCAACGGGGGGACTCAAACAAAAAGATAGTGCCAATAAGACCAGGGATTAGAACACATGCAGATACAACCTGAAGCCATCTGTGACCTCTTAGTTTGAACGCTGCAAGCGTTGAAAGCGATCTGAGTATACGCAATAGAGACGCATATAGTGTGGCGTGTGTTCGGTGCACTGGTTGCATCATCTCAAGCGTTAGGACCCATAAACTCGTATATGCCCCAATTAATGTCAACAGAGCAAGCCAACGCATTGCTAAAAACAGAATGAAATTATCTGAGAATGCTCCACCGAGAATGGCACCGAACGAACACACCATCATTCCTAGAGTAGTTAGCTTTCTTCCAAACCTGTCTGAGATTAATCCAGAGAGAAAAGCTCCAAATAAAAATCCCACCATCTGCAAGGTGGCTGGAAGCGTATACATCCAATCATTTTGACAGACAAGTCCAAACTGGCTTACCACCGTAGATTTACGAACGCTACGATCAAACTCCCATCCATTATTACAAGCGATTTCAACCGCGGTTTTATTATTACGAATCCAAAGCTCTACGGTTTGGGGATTAGTGAAGTTTATATCGCTATAGTCATAGTTAAACATACTGCATTGTTTGTATATCGTATCACCCAGAGGACCAGTTGTCTGAGGAATTGCAATGGCCTTTTGCATGCTTTCATTGAGATGTTGCAACTCGGGAACTTTACACCAGTGGTCCATTCTACCAGCGATAAACACCGTAAGCGTGATTTGCCAACCGCCACCCGCAGCGAATATATTGACTACTATCAATAGGAATACCTGGTATCGGCCGAATCCTCCTAACAAACAAAGAGCTTCGTCAAACTTCATATTGATCAACTAAGTTTAAATTTGCTTACAACGGATTTTCAAACCTTCGAAATCACAAACGTCATATTTTATTCATTAGGTTGTACTTTTCATTTACGTACTAGTCTATTGTCTCGTGAATTTAAGAACCATTTGACGGATGTTTATCCATATTTTAACATAGTTGGCAATAGGGTCATTCTTCGTTTATAACAATCTTCTGAAGATTTTTAGCATGAAAGTATATGCGCAAGCATTAATGGGGTTTTCAGACAGTTCTACAAAGAATGCTGTCAAAAATAGATGCGTCAATGATGGATTGTTTTTTTATTTTTAATTAATCAGAGCTGTTAATAAAATTCGAACGTGACTTTATTCACGCCTTCAATAAACTGTGAACAGTCAACATTTCATCCGGGTTATATTCGTCAATACTCCCCCTGGTAATACGAGTAATGAAAGACCGTCATAACGGCGGGTCGTAGTATTGGCGGATCATTAAATGAATATTCGAAAAATGTTGGTGAGTTTTCATATTCGAATCGTAATATAGACCTATTGGGCTGAATTATGGGTGTCATTAGCAGGGGTCAAAATTAGTATGTGGCATGTTGGTTTTTCTTATTTTTAATTTTTAATAACCCTGTTATGGAGGGATAAATATTTCATTTTACAGTTTCTTTAGGCAAATCAAACCCTGCTGGGAGAATTACCGCTGGTAACACCTACCGGGGTTATATTACCAAAGTAAAATATGATACGATGAAAGCATTTACTTGACATTTATCATTGACTGTAAACGACAGAGCGATTGGTCAACGGTAAAGTCTATGTTACAGCGATAGTTTTGAGACTATTTCCCAATAAATATTTAATTCAATGACCATGGTCATATTGTAATATTTCCATTACTATAATTGCTTCCATGATGCATCAATCTCTCGTGCGACTAGGGGATCAATTGGAAAAATATGTATATAAACAGGTCATTTAGTCGCTTGTATTGAGACATCAATTTTTGCCAATTGTTTTTTACAAAAGCTACTTGAAAAATGCAGACGTTGTGTAATAGTGAAGTCAAAAAGAAATCCTAAGCTGTAGTACCTTAATGACGTTGCCAAGATTTAGAACATAATGAATGGGCTCCTCCAGTTGTCCTAAAAAGTTCTGGTAGCATTTCGAGTTATTTAAGTCGAAGCTCTAGCAACTTATCGTTAGTTAACTAACGAATTAGGAAGATAAGTTGTTCATTTTTATAGCAAACTATTCGGTAACTTCAACAATTGAATAATTGGTAAGGTTTTTGGATATAAACAACAACAATTGATAAGCAGTGGATCCAATATTGATTAAATGCTATAGCTTAACAAATCGATGGTTCTGGAGCTTGGCCAAAATCACGCCATCAAACCATCCCTTCCTCGTTACTGAAACTATATTGCAATGGAGTCGTCAACAGCTTCAGGAGCTGAAGAAAATACTATTACCAAAGGATACAACGATACGCCATCATTTGATGACTATCTAGAATATCAAATAGGAATTGCCCTCTGGAAATATATGTCACCAGTTGTAATCGTAGTTGGAGTTATTGGTAATATTCTATCATTTCTAGTCACGAGATTTACAAGAATGAAGAGGTACAACTTTTCAATATATTTGTCTGCTCTGGCCATTTTTGATATAGGAGTACTCGTCGTCGGTCTTGTACAACAATGGATCTTTTACACGTTTGACTATGATATCGTATCTGTGCACGAATGGGGTTGCAAGCTCTTTGAATCAATCTATATCTTTACGAGCTTATCTGCCTGGATGTTGGTCTGTGTCACAATTGACAGAGTTATTATCGTTTACCTACCCCTAAAAGCAAAGTCAATCTGCACTAAGAATAAAACAATAATTGTAATATGCCTTGTCACATTATTCACTGTTGGACTGAACTTGCACTGGATTTTCTCCGTTGGAGAGCGTCTTTATATGGGTGAACTATATACTTGTGCAAACAAAGAAGCCTTTGAAGATTTCATCATCACTTACTGGCCCTGGATTGATGCAGCATTTGCTTCGTTTATTCCATTCACCATTCTAGTCATTTGCAACATTTTAATTGTTGTTAAGTTGTTGAAGGCAGGGATTCGTCGAAATAAGCAAATGAACGCCTCCAATTCGAATATGAACGACGCTGTAAAGTCCATGACGATTATGCTCGTAGTGATATCCTTACTGTTCATATGTTTCACAGCTCCAATCGTCGTCGACATAGCAATATTTAATTTGAACTACGATCAGCAACTCACAACAACGTTGGCTGAAGATGCACATGATGAACTCAGATGGGCAATTGTAAATATGTTAGTTTACCTCAACAGCGCGATGAACTTCTTCATGTACTGCCTGAGTGGAAAAAAGTTTCGCGAGTCGTTGAAAGACTTGTTCTGTCGAAGGAAATCAGCCATGCGCAAATCAACATATACGTCAAGGACAGGTATAAGTCAGATTAAAACCGACTCCAAATAATGAAAAGCAATACTTCGATTGTAAACAAAATCGATCCGGAACCAGTATATTGTTAAAGTTGATTGTATTACATTTTTTTATTTCTGTCGATCAAAAATGAACAATGACCGAGGACATAAAATGTTGTACAATGATCAAGAAACTTTTCTCGTTTTTCAGTATGACCGCAACTTATATTAAAACCTTTTCTGAATGCAGCTTATTCAATAAGTACACAATAAAGACTATATATACAGAGACTCTATATTCAGTAGATTATAAATAAAAACTATATAGAAAATAAAGAATAAGATAAAAAATAACAAAAAAAAAAAATAAATAAATAAAAAATAAAAATAAAATAAAAAAGATACAGTAGACTATTAACAAAGACTACATATACAGCGTTTTTTGCAAGGGTCAAGTTGGCAAGTAATCAAATCCAATGTGAGAAGCCCATCTATCACCATGACAACTGTTGAACTGGTGACCTTGCATGTGTTATTAATATTTCACACGCTGTTTATTATGTGAATACTCTTTCTGATTTGCTGGAATCTGACACACCTTGCCTAACTATGTGTGAATGTAATATCATAGTAAAAATATCATCAAAATATTTGTATAATATTGCTTGTTTACGTACCAGCATGTATAGCAGATCATAATATTCTAAAACAAAACAAGGTATTTAATAATAATAATCACGAGCCAGATTATTAAATACATCAACAGGTATTGTTAATAACTTATTATTTTAATACTCATCATTCAAACGATTAAGTATTCAAAAAACAGTAAGGAACTTGCAGTTGCCATTGAATATATATAATAAATAATTACCCTGCCCGAAAAACAATGGAACGCTTTTAAAGGTTCTTTGCTTAACCCGGTTTACGTACCAGCATGTAAGGACATTTTTAGCGAATCTTAACTTTGATTAAAGTGATTAAATGTGCAAAATGTATTAAATTATACATTGATTTATTAACTCTAATATTAATAGGATTTTGACTGAGAGCATCAAAAAGTAAAAGCGATAAATGAACCTGATAGTTTTGTCTTTAGATCTAGACCAAGTGGGGATTGTGTCAAACTTATTCCCCGGGTATTAATTACATATTCCGTTACCTTCACTCAATATACTCAGTTGTTTATGAGCTACGGTTTCGACAGCTCTCGGTTGTTGTTTTTAGGCGAAATGGTTTATTTCCTGGACGCCAGGTGACTCTAGTATTGGATTCCATACAGTACTGGGTTCATGAGACTGTAGCACATAAACAAGTAAGTATTGGTTGAAGACAAAGTAATTTGTAATCAATATAAACAATACTAACCCGAAGAAGTTATTCTTTAATATGTTGTCAAACTGTCAACCATGTGATCAATTGTAATGTTTGAGTTTCAAACAGTAAATGAAAATGAACTTCCTCTTAAAATTCCTTTCACAGAATCGATTACCACTTGCGATAAATGAACACCATCGATATGATACTACTTTGGTGTAATCACGTGGAGCCGCAGTTTGGCACCGCATGAATGCCCTTTAAATGACTTAGAAATTGATGAAAATTGCGGGAATTGTTTTTAAAGGTCAACTTTTACAGATTTGTTAAAGCAATTGCACCCAACTAAATTATATATTCGAACATGACTGTATCCAAGCCTTCTATAAACTGTGAACAAAGTCAATATTTCACCCGAGTTATATTCGCGAACAATACCCCTGGTAATACGAGTAATGCGTGACGTCATAACGGCAGGCCGTAGTAATGGCGGACCATAATGAATATTTGAAACATGTTTTCATGTTCGAATCGTAATATAGACTACGGAGAAAGTGTAGTATCGCCAAATACACCACTTAGGGCTAGGCACAAAAGCTTTCGAACCCTCTATAGATTGTTCTGTTAATGAGGAATGTATTGGTTAAAATCTTTTATGTTTCATGATGCTCGGATGTGTACGAATGAATTTAAGACTGTAGGTAACATTTGTTGGCTTGAACGTGTCTATAAAGACGTGCGGGTCAGTGCTGTATTGTTTCCATGGGTGTAATACAGATTTATGTCACGATTTACATTTTGCCGTCATCCCCGCGAGCTCCATCAAAATGTGGGTCCATTGGGAACTTTTCCATGTGATCGTCTTCCTCCTTCGCCCAGTCCTGGACTTCACCTCTTGCGAAAATCAGGAATACCAGAAGTCCAAATAAGTAAAATCCAGCACAGATATAAAACACAACTTGCCATTCTGCCGCCGTTCCCTGGAGTAAAGCAAATTATGATATACTTGTAACAATAGCAAAACATATTATGATATACTTGTAACAATACCAAAACATATTAAGATATACTTGTAACAATACCAAAACATATTAAGATATACTTGTAACAATAGCAAAACATATTATGATATACTTGTAACAATCAAAATGCTCAGCTTTATGTCAGTTCATTTCAGAAAGGCCGCGTGTTTTGAGATTACTTTCGATGTTGCCAAGTGCAATTTAACGATGAGAACCAAATAAATTGTTCATATCAATGACAATGAGTATCATAGAGAGGCATGGTTGATCCCGTATTTGCTGCATCATGTCTTTTATTGAGTTAGTTTGAACTACATGATCTTTGATTATTTACAAAGTAAATAGTTTTTAATAGCATAGCGACATCTTTATTATCTTACTGTAACTGATTATTAGCGCATGCGTATGTACATTCGATCGATTTACACTTAGTCATAGTTGAGTAAAGCTTTTTTCGAAGTTTTTGAAGAACCGTATAATGGATACTAATAGTGATATAGAAACGCAAGGAGCTAAGCCAAGGTGTTGCAGCACTTGTGGTAACACGGTCAGGGGACATAACGGACCGTATGGCCCGAAATGTACGAATTATCAGACAGAGGGAGACGCCCAGTCAAAAATTGAAACACCAGATTCGACTGACACGTCATCAGGGATCGTAAGTGATAATCAACCATCAGCGTCTTGGATAACTAATGCAATAATGACAATGAATGACCAAATTTCGAACTTATCAATGGTAACATCAAATTTGAAAGAAGGTCAGGATAACCTTCGTGAATTAATGGAAGGTATAATACAACAGCGTAACCTCCCTAACCCTAATATGGGGGTTGTTCCACCAGTACAAGGGGCCACAGCACAAAATGCACCTCAACAATCCAACCCAACCCCTGATACAATTCCACCAGTGAACGATAATAGGGTTTCCTACGAAGGCTGTACAATGGGGGTGCCAGTTAAAGTTACCAATAAAATAATTGCTGGTGAGTACGTGAATTTGGTGGATTTGCTCCCAACAAACCTACATGTATATCATCAATCAGTTGACAATCAATGGCAAAATGAACAAGTATTATGTTCGGATAACGGTCAACTCAAATTACAAAAGAAAAACAAACAAACACAAGTACAATAATTTTTATCATGGAATACAGCATGGAATGTCTATGAAATGATTATTATGGAGCACAACCCCAGCGCCTATTCTGATCTGAGAACATATAGAGCACACATTCAGGAATGCGACAAGAAATTCCAATGGTCAGCTGTATCACAATATGACATCCGTTTTAGACTGAAATTAGGGGCCGCAAAATCATTTGCGTTTGGTAATTTGGATACATTCTTATATACCACTATATTAGACGCATCTGCAGTCAAACATGTTGCCATTAAGTGTTACAGGTGTAAAGGTGATCATCAAGTGTCTAAATGTCCATTTCTCGAGACGAATAAGGTGGAGACGGCGGAGAAAAATGAGAAACCGAAAGGCACAGGAAATATTAGTGGAGAAATTTGTAACAAATTCCAAACTGGAGAATGTACTTTCGGAAATCGTTGTTTTAGAAAACACGTCTGAAAAAATTGCAAAGTTGGCCTGTTGCCATACGCCAAATGTGATTGTTCAAAGTAAAACAGAGATAAGTCCCTATAATCCTTTGAATGTTGAATATTTCGAAAACAAGTTGAAATCTCATCCTGATCGTGAATTTGTAAATAATATAATACAGGGTGGTACATTTGGAGTTAATCTTGGGTACACAGGACCTCGGGGTCCAAGAATTCATAAAAATTGGAAATCAACACAAATATATAGCGAAGCCGTGGAGGCTAATGTACTCAATGATTTGAAAATAGGTCGTAAAGCGGGACCGTTTATCACACAACCTTTCTCTAATTTTGTCGGCTCCCCGATGGGCGCATACGCTAAAAAGCGCTCGGTTCCTGTAAAGTACAGGATTATACATGATTTGTCATGGCCTCCAGGTGGCGCTATAAACTTATGCATTAGAATATTTTTTTATTCAGCAGTAATATTACATACATTTAAGACAATATACTATTCAGCTTGATATCCTTCTGGAGAATGTACTTTCGGAAATCGTTGTTTTAGAAAACACGTCTGAAAAAATTGCAAAGTTGGCCTGTTGCCATACGCCAAATGTGATTGTTCAAAGTAAAACAGAGATAAGTCCCTATAATCCTTTGAATGTTGAATATTTCGAAAACAAGTTGAAATCTCATCCTGATCGTGAATTTGTAAATAATATAATACAGGGTGGTACATTTGGAGTTAATCTTGGGTACACAGGACCTCGGGGTCCAAGAATTCATAAAAATTGGAAATCAACACAAATATATAGCGAAGCCGTGGAGGCTAATGTACTCAATGATTTGAAAATAGGTCGTAAAGCGGGACCGTTTATCACACAACCTTTCTCTAATTTTGTCGGCTCCCCGATGGGCGCATACGCTAAAAAGCGCTCGGTTCCTGTAAAGTACAGGATTATACATGATTTGTCATGGCCTCCAGGTGGCGCTATAAACTTATGCATTAGAATATTTTTTTATTCAGCAGTAATATTACATACATTTAAGACAATATACTATTCAGCTTGATATCCTTCTGGATATATAAAGCATATGCATTTAATTACAATATTTTGTTATAAAAATAATCGCTTGTTCACTGCAACATAATTCAAACGTTTAACAAGGGGCTCAGTGTGAGAAGTTAAGTGAAGTGACGTCACATTGCAAGTGGAGACACCTATCGATTGGTTAACTCACATTTGTTGTTATTGCTCCTACAATCATAGGAGAGAAGATACCCGGCAGAGTGGCCGCAGTATTTGTGATTCCAAACAACACACCTGCAAATCTGAAAACATAAAACGTCAAAAGACGATTCCGGAAAATAATGCCATATTTTGGTTCAGACGTCATGGGACTAATTTTCAATGCATAACAATTTTTTTTACAAACACAGTTGCATGCAAAGTACAGAGTGACACAAGAATGCCACCCACTGCATAATTTTTT